TGAATTTGCGCAAGAGCACTGACTTTGTAATGTACAAAATCAGTGCTTCTTGCGCAAATGCTTTCACGCTCCCACTTGGGAAAAGCCCTCTTGCGCAAGAATACAGGGAAGAACTGTTTTGCACAAAAAAGCCCCGATGGCTAAAATGGCATTCAGGGCTTTCTTGCGCAAAATCACGTCTAGACTGGCCACGGATGCTTTTGCGCAAAGGCACTTGCCAATCTAGATGCGCTTTTGCGGAAATACTTTTAACGGAAAAACTTTTCCGTTAAAAGTATTTCCACAAAATCATGCCAGTCTAGACGCAGCCAGAGAGTAAGAAGATAGCCATTGGTTATTTTGAATTGAAACCAGACCGATTTTTTTAATCATAGAAATTAGATGTATAATATACCAGTCAGATCACTTTGAACACCATTGGGGTATCTTCTGCTCCAATTAGTGTCAATAAAGCATTGTGGATTTACATGGCAGCTGGATCATTGTTTCCCTCCAACAGAAAGCTGTCAAACCAAGGTCCAAATCTCATAGTACATCTGATGATGAAGAAAGTCAGCAAAATTCTTCTGGAAAAGAAATTGGACAGTTGTACAGGTCAGACATCCCCACTGTTTTTCTCTTCCCTGAAAACTAGAGACTTTTCTCCTTAACTGACCATATTGTGCTTTATTCCATCTCAGTGACCCAAGTCTGTTCTCAAGAGCAAGTCTTTTGTGTTGCCTGAATTATTGAAATGCATTTGCGGTAACTATAAAATCCCAACACTCAGTTACATGGTGTTTCAGTGGAATACAAATAGTAATTACTCTTAAAGTGAATATAAATGATACAACAATACTTAGCTAGTGAAAAGAAGCCAGAGTCAATTTTACATGAAGATGAACTGGGAAAGGCTGTGATAATAGACCTTTATTCAGTCTATTACAGCTGAAAATGAAATAAATCCATTTTTAAGTATTCATTTACTGCATTTTAAAGGTCTCTTTTGCTGATGTTTTTTCTAAAGCTAGTTGCCCACCTTGTTTTTGTCTGTATAACAGGATAGATCTATGTTTTAAACAACTTCCATTAGAGGGCAGTGGGATTTGGAATAAACTATAATTTTAGAGACTGCCCAAAAATCCTGTTTAGCTATCTTGTTTCCTTTCTTTTTATTTCTTGCTATTTAAATTTGTCTTTGGAAATAGTTAATAGTTAGTATAGAATAAATAAGTATAAGAATGCACAGCTGAATTTATTTTTCTTAGCAGCAAAAAATGGCAGAACTACAAAGAAGAGATTTATATAATTTTAAAGCATTAAAATAAAGATCTGCTTTGTTGGTAATATATACTGTTACTCAACAGATTGGGCCGTAGGAGAAAAACCATGAAGTTGTGCCGCGCTCTTTCCGATTTAGTCGTGTACACAAACTCTGTAGCAGCCCAAGATATAGTGGATGATGGTAAGATGTGGCTGTAGATTTTATTTATATAAGTGATGTTATTTCTCAAGATTATATATTTTGATGGGATATATGGCTCTGGTGTAAAGTTTCCTTTATTTTTAGAGAACTTTTAAAAGTTGACCAGGTATTTCATCAGTTCTTGTCCCTATCTCTATCTGTGGAGAAAGATAGTACAACAACTTCCTTTTCTTCCCTAGGGAAATGTACCCTGCCATGTTTCTTCAGTTTCCTTGTGAATTTCATAACTTTTTCCCCGTCTGATTCTGGGAATGCAGACTCTTCCAGGAGAAGCTTCCATGGTTTCACTGTATTCACTGAGATTTATGTTAGCTTTTACTACAGGTTGCACCTCCCAATATTGGAATTCTCTAGCAGCATCCATGGTATGGAAGGACCAGGGATGTTCCTGGACCAGAGAACCCCGATAGACTAGTGGCTGGAGGGCAATCCAGGAGGGGCCAGGCTGAAGCAGCATGATGGGGCAGTGACTACTGGTGGTGGCAGCCCCCAGCAGCCTGCAACAGTGGAACTGGACTGGGACTGAGTTAGGGCAGCCCCCGGCAGCACAGGACTGAGCCAGCAACAGCTCATGGCAGCACAGAAGTGGGGCCAGAGCCTGTGGGCTGCCACAGAGCTAGGACCAGAGTCTGAGCCCTCGGCAGCCCCAGCAGCCCAACCAACCAGTCGCTGGCAGCCCGCAGCAGTGCAGGACCAGAGCCTGTGGCAGCCAGTGGCACCACGGGCTGCTAGAGCCCAGCAGGCAGTCCTGCTGGGGCTATAGCAGTGGAGCCAGCAATCCAGCAGGTAGTCTGGCCAGAGCTGGAGGGTAGTAAGCACCTCAAACACCCATCCACCCCTGGGCGGCTGGGGGCTATGGCAAGGAACCTTCTCTGGTCCGGCAAATTCCTTGGTTTGGGACCGGCCAGGTCCCAAGGATGGCAGATCAGGAAGGTCCGACCTGTATAACAATGTGTTACTATTATTTAATATTAATATTGTGTAGTTCCCAAAGATCACAGCTGGGTTCAGGATTCCATTATGCTGGGTGCTATATAGAGATACATATGGTCTCTTCTCACAATGAGCTTACTGTTGTTTTACAAGACAAGGTAAAATGGAAATTAATGGGGCTAAGATGGAATTTGAAGAGCAGATGGCCAAAGGTGTAAAAACAAACAAGACATTTTATGTGTAGTCATCTTATATGGGAATAAATGGGATTGGCAACTACCAGTGAGTAAATGGAGCATTTAAGGAGGATAAAGGCATTGTACATCAAACAAGAACTTTAGAGTACATTTGGTGACACAAAGACAATAGATGTAAAATTTATTAAAGAAAATACTCCCTTCACATGTTGCCTAATAAACTAGAGGAACTCATTGCCACAAGATGTCATTGAGGCTAAAAGCTAAATAGCATTTTACTAGGATTAGATGTTCATATGAATAATAAGACATCCACAGTTTTAATAATAGGCCAAACATCTGTATAGAGGAACTAAACCTTCATGGTTCAGGGCACAAGACATCTAACTAACAAGGATTGGAAGAAACTTGACCTATGACCCAATTATTTCCCAAACACTATTACATGCTTTTGGCACCTTCTTCTGATGGATCAGGTACTGGCCATTGTCAAAGGTCTAGCTTGGGATCACCGGTCTAATCTTTTAGATCAGCTCCTCGGTTCCTATGTGCTGAAAATGAATACTTGTTCTTTTAAAGGACTAGATATGCTTTTTCTATTAGCTGCACACATGTCTTAATTTCTGTAGCAATTTCTCCTGGCTTTTTCAGCTCTCCTGGAATAGTAATATAAGCAAAGATGAATGATGCCACTGAGCAGCTTTAAATTTCTGAAACTGGCACATATTGCTCGGGGGGTGTGTTTAATTAGAGTATCTGTCTCTATGTGGAAGACAGAAAAAAACATATTCAAGTGCCAGGGTTATTTCTCCTTTAAAAAATGTGGTTCAGAGAATTACGAACCTACATTCAGTGGCACTTCAGCCATAGAGACAAGCTAGACAAGAATGCAGGACCATGCCTGCTGACGTCAGGAAAGGTGAGAATCAGAGTAATGGTTTAGGCCCCCAATGACCCTTCTTTGGAGAACCCAAGCTTTCATGCAAATATTTCCTCTAGTGGAATGGATTTAGGAGGCTGTGGGTTACACAGTCCCCTCCCATGGATGTGGGGGATCCACAGGGAAAGGAATCCTGATCCACAGAGGAAGGAGCTGAACCTCTGTGGGCCTGCGCTTAATACTCTGTCCCCCTGGTTACAAGGCTTCCGCAAGGTGTTAGCCATGCTGTCATTGTCTGAGTCCCCTGTAGCTTCTCAGAAACAATTCTGGCTGGGGCTTTCCAGGATATGGAGTATTTTCAGTTAGCTTTGACTCCTGGCTGGTTTTCCACATAAGCCCAGAAAGCCGGTGGCTGAGCAAATAACAGGTTGATGCCTTGGTCCATTCTGTCCCATTCCAGCCCTTGCCAAGCCCCTGTAGAGGAAAGCCCTAGAGTAGACACTTGAAGATGAGATAGGGCAAGGTGACAGAGCACAACAGCAAGGCAATGCTGTTCTTAGGTCTCTGTGATCTATACAACCCCCACACATAAATCCAACCTGCCAGCCAGAGTTCCATTCCTGATTCCACATTCATGTTCTTGTCTGACTCCAATGCCAGCAGGACAATTCCCTAGTTTTTTCTTTGGTCCTTGTAATGGCGTTGAGACTTACTGCCACAACGCCTCCTGCTAGTCACTCTGGGAATTAGCTTCTTGGAGCATCCCCTTCTGGCTGGTGTCTCCCCATGTCTCTGCACTCTGGGGGCCTCCCCCCCTGGGAGCCCCCCTTTAGGGCATTGCCCTCTATCAGTGCCCACCACTCTGCTTTCTTGTCCACCTTTGGGGGGTATCAGTAGTCCTCAGTCCTGTACTGGCCACCCTGGCCAACTGCAGCCCCAGTTTAGTGCCTCACCTCATGGGCAAGCCACAGACTATAAAGGCTTCTCTTCTGTGTGGGTAGGTGTAGTGCAAGGGAAAAGCGGGGGCCAGGCCCACCCACCTCTATGGGTCCCAGCCCATGAAACTCTGTCAGACGCCTTGTCCTGCTCTCCTTCACTCTCCCGTAACTACCTACTGTTCCTCGGGCCATGTCCCCATGACCTTTGCACCCCCTTGGCCCTAGTGTCAAGGCCTGCAATTGGCAGGTATCAGGCTGGGGTCTGTCTCTAGCTCACTTGAGCCTGCTCAGCACTGCTCTCTCTAAAGTGCTTCTCTGGGAACCACCCTTCTTGGTCAGGACCCAACCGCCCTCTGCAAAGCTGAGCAGCTCCTTATACCCAGGGCTGCCTCAGCAAGCTGCCCTCTGATTGGCTTCTTCTAAAAGCCCTTTTTCCATTGGCTGGGGCTCTACAAAGCCACTCTCCAACCTGCCTTAACCCCTTCCCTGACGAAGTTGGGCAGCTGCCCCACTAGAGTCCTGGATTGGAAGCTGACTTTCACCCAGCTTTCTGATCCAGACAGTAATTTATGGACTGATGAGGTATGTGGAAGAGGATTGTCAAGTCCTATGGGTGTTTGCAAGTAGTCAGGAGATACCCATGACAACTTTCAGCTATTTGGAGGTAAAATGAGGGAGAACCTGATCATTAGATATGGAAGGAGTTTGTTCATTATACAACTTACTGAAGTCACCACAGTTTAGGAATACTGCCTAATTAATGGCTACACTATATATCTTTTCCACTTGATCTCCAAGTAAGAGTAAAGCATGCATATGAGACAGTGAGAATCTGTCTGTGAACCTAGACTACCTCCACTAATCTCAGCCCAATTTACTGTAGTTATACATCAGTGTAACTGAACTGTGAATATAGCAATTTGTCTCACAGTTGTTGTTGTTTTTTAACTATAAACATAGGGACTATGGGAAATGTGTTATCGTTCAGTGAAACAAGGGCCCACCAAATAGTGCAGCAGAAGTCTGAACACTTCATACTTTACAACCAGAAACAGCTCACCAGAATCTATCCATCTGCGTATCGGATTGACTCCAGCAATTTCAACCCCATGCCATACTGGAATGCTGGTTGCCAGCTGGGTAAGCCTGTTTTATATGCGTCATGTGTTTCCATGCATTTTATGTTAAATGCAAATTACAGTTATACTTACAATGATTCCCAAATTTCCTAATTCAACAGTGGCATTAAACTACCAGTCAGATGGGCGCATGATGCAGGTAAATCAAGCAAAGTTCAGGATGAATGGCAACTGTGGATATGTTCTCAAACCTCAGCAGATGTGTAAAGGTAAGGCACAAAACACATTTATAATAGCAGTTCTTTTAGAAAATGACTTGGCAGTCAGTTTGCCATTATTTTGCATTTCATGCTAAACAGCTAGACTTGAACGAGGAATTAAAACAAGAACTTGCCTGGGAACTTTTTGATACACACACAAAATAATTAGTTGGTAGGCATCTGACTTTTTAAATATTTAATGAAAGGCACATTTGCAGTATTTGCTATCATCACAAAATTATTGCTAGCTTTCTGAATATGTAAATACTCTCATATAATCTCTCAGAATTAATCTAGGTCAGTTATTAGCACTCAGTCTTTTGATATGCTTGGCCCCTCGTAGGAAGTGTAGACCAGCCTGAGCATCTCCTAGCACTGAGCGTTTAGAGCCTGATCTGTCACTGAAATCAATGGGCATCCTTGTATTTCTGGAACAGGAGTCCATGATCCTTATGCTCATTTAGTGAATAAGTTTCTATTTGTTTAGGGTTTGTTTTGCCACCATCATTTTAAAGTCACATTATTTCTTTACGCCAGATTAATCTTAGAACTGGTAGGATTGTTATGTAAAATGAGGCTGAGCCAGTGAAGTCAAAGGGCCTTGAATAACCTTTCTGCACTAGGTGAATGGAATTTATAGGAAATAAATTATAGAAAATTCCAGTCCAGCAAACCCTTACTCCCTGGAGGAGTCCTTACTTCCTTTAAGTCAACAGGGTTTTCATGAATTGAGTTGAGTAAAGTTTGGAAGGAATCAGCACTGTTGGATCCTAAACACTTCTCAGCCTCATTCGCTGCTTACATGGCTAAATTTTGGCCACATAAATGTTACGTAATCATAGGATGTTATTTATTCTATGCATTTGGGAAGGTAGAAGTTCTTGTTTTTTTCCTGTAGAGGATTTCTAACATTAAAGGTTTTATTTTTTCTCATTCTCTGCAAACCTTTAGGTACATTCAACCCATATTGTGGTGATCCACTTCCTGCCAACCCTAAAAAGCAACTTATTCTCAAAGTCATCAGTGGGCAGCAACTACCTAAGCCTCCAGATTCAGTATTAGGAGACAGAGGAGAGGTAAAGTAGTTTGCATAATATTCAATAATTCTTTTCACCATAACTGTCGTAGAAAGGCCTGGGAGTAATATGGCAGCATTTATCCTAAAAAGAGTTTTCCTCCTAAATTAGAATATGCCAGTAATTTTCAGATGTTCAGGATTTGCACTTTAGCTCTGGATTTTCCCCACAATCCTTGTACTTTTATATACTCTCTTATTTCTTCAGCTGTTAGCGCTAATCTGAAAGTTTATCCTAGCGACCTACATTTTCCAGTATCACCGTGAGGAAACCAACACCATCTTGTAATCTGCTGTGACATTTCCTATAATCACACTACTTGGAAAGTCATACTGAGCAGTGCTTTCACATTCAAATGTGCATTTATGCAAGAGTTTAAAAGAAAATGTATCTATAAAATGAGTTACTTTTACATTGTTGTTTTTTAAAAAATAGATAATAGATCCTTTTGTGGAGGTGGAAGTTATTGGGTTACCTGTAGATTGCTGTAAAGACCAGACAAGAGTGGTTGATGACAATGGTAAGATAACATACCGTACTTCCTCTTTTTGATAGTAAATCATTGAATAATTATGCATGATTAGAGATACCCAGATGCAAAGAGTGATTAACATAGCATTTTGTGGTCATATTTCACATTTTAAAAAGTTTATGAATAGTGTTTAAAAGGGTAATAATCAAATAAAAAAATTGTTTAAAACTAGGATATATAAATATCTAAGAAACCTTTTACTGATGTATTTAGAATATCTATAAAATATATTCCCATGTCTGTAACATGCTTATAACATCTATTAATAATTGATTATCCTTTTATAAGTTATTTATAAATGCACCCTTCATATGAAATGTGACCATATTTTCAAGTAATAAAAAAGATAATGCCAGATCAGTGCAGAGGAAAGCCGTGGAACATTGGGGTGACAACTTCTGACCTGCTAGTCCTGCAGGGATTGCATGAACTTTATTCTCATTTATTTTAAGCCCCACCTACACAGGGTTTTAAATTGTTTTAAGAAATTATGTTTTAATATCGCTTTCCACAAAATTAGCTTCAGCTGGCCATTGCTGTTCTGGTTTGGAAAAAATAGTGTTAAAAACTTTCTGCTGAAAATGTGTGTAGCCCAAATTTCTTAAAAGGGTTAAAAAAAAAGCTCATTTCAACATCCATGCTTAGATACGCTAATATGGTTTGGTTAACTAATGTGAATGGGCGGAGGAGGGGTATGTATCAAACTATGCTATACAGGCAGACCCCGGGTTACGTACAAGATAGGGACTGTAGGTTTGTTCTTAAGTTGAATCTGTATGTAAGTCGGAACTGGCATCCAGATTCAGCCGCTGCTGAAACTGATCAGTTTCAACAGCGGCTGAATCTGGACGCCAGTTCTGACTTACATACAGATTCAGCTTAAGAAACCCAGGCGTCCCCAAGTCAGCTGCTGCTGAAACTGATCAGCAGCTGATTCCCAAATCAATTCTTGTGTATCAGCCACAAAGCTAAGCTCCCACTTAGGGAATGGAAATGGCTATGTTGCTGCTTCTTCATCTGTTTGTCTTCTAGTCTATGAGGGATTCTAGATTTTACTAGTCATGTGCATTCATGCATCATGTTTATATGAGTGCTGTTTCCCTTACCTCTGCTTGTGTTTCAGAGACAATGCCATCAGCATCTGCTGTCCCTGCTGTACTTTCCTGACTTTCTGTTCTGTTTGTCCCATAGGATTTAACCCGGTGTGGGAGGAAACTCTCACTTTTACCATCCACATGCCTGAAATAGCTTTGGTTCGATTCCTTGTTTGGGACCATGATCCTATTGGTCGAGATTTTGTTGGACAAAGAACTGTGGCCTTCAGCAGTCTTGTGCCTGGTTAGTTCTACCCATTCTCTTGTCTTTGATGTTTAGTTGAAAATAGAAGGAAGGATAGTTTTGTAGAGAAAGCACAGAGAACTGAGTGTCAGAACAGCTGAGTTCTATGCCCAGATCTTCCACAGACTTCCTGGAAAGCAGGGGAGAGGATGGGGGGAGAAGGGGAGGGAGATCTTCAAAGCTACACCCAGTTCCATGGGCTTTTGAAAGTCTCAGCATCTGTGTTTGTCTGGTCACCTGTAAAACGGAGACAAATACTACTTACAACCACAGGTTGAACCTCTCTAGTCCAGCATTCTCTGGTCGAACAACATCCATGGTTTGGCATGATTTTAATTAGCCAGATGTCCACTTATGATGGGTGTGGCTAAGTTTCCTGTGGTGCCATAAAGTTTGTTTACAGACACCAGACCTGGCTCTCGTCGGTCTGTGCTACTATTTAGCTCTAATTTCCCCCTAAATGTCTTCTTAGAGCCCAGAAAGCAGTGGAAGTATTGGTAATACTGCTAGACAACATTGATCGCCCGGGGTCTGGCAAATTCTCTGGTTTGATTGGCCAACCAAACCATGTTAGATATGGGTTACGCTCAGAATTTTCCACACCTCAGTAACAATTGTGTTATGGGACCCAGTTACTTCAGTCCTTTAATAGTTAGAAACTTTATCTAATTTCAAGCCTAAACTTCTTGAAAGGCAGTTTATATCCATTTGTTAAACACAGGCTTATCTTAAATAACTCCTCCCTCTCCCTGGTGTTTGCCCCTCTGCTGAATTCATAAAAAGCAATCATATCTCCCCATAGCCTTCCTTTTGTTAGGCTAAACAAGTCAAGCTCCTCAAGTCTCTTCTTTTCTGAAAGGTTCGCCAGTCCTCTGAAGACACCTCTCCATTTGCAGGAAGATCGATGCCGCGGTGCTCGATCTTTCCACATTCGATTTAGCGGGTCTAGTAGGATATGTCTACACATCAAAGCTATTTCGGGATACTAGAGGTATCCCAAAATAACTACCCCGTGTTTTTTGAATGCGTCTGCTATTCCGATATATAGCGGACGTGCTATTTCAGCATCCCGGTAACCCTTGTTCCACAAGGGTTAAAGGATGTCTCAAAATAGCACTTTATTTAGAAATAAACTCAAAATAAGCTACGCAAATTGCATATCTTATTTCAAGTTTGCAGTGCACTGTAGGCATAGCCGTAAAGACCTGCTAAATTGAATGCTAAGGGCTGTACTCCTTGCTGTTTTGAAAAGTAAGGAAAGTCGATGGGAGCGCCTCTTCCATCAACCTCCTGTTGTAGAGACGATGTCAAACTCAGCTTAAGGTATGTCAACTCCAGATACTTTATTTATGTAGCTAGAATTGTGTACCTTAAGCTGACCTTCCTGGTGTAGTATAGACTTAGTTCTCCCAGTAGCTTTTATTTGCATTTGTTTCAGTTTGAACTGATCTTTCTTAAACATTGGAGACCAAAATTACATGTAGTGTTCCAGATGAGACCTTATACAAGGATAATAACACTTCCCTGTCTCTGTAGGAAATAGTTTGCTTGATGCATCCTGGAAGTGCATGTGTCTTTTTTCATGTCCATATCACATTGGTGGCTCATAATCCTACTGTGGTCAACCAACATATTTAAGTCTCTCATATCCTCTGTCACTTCTAACTGATAGATCCCCAGTTTGTAAAAAAAATAACTTGTACTTTTCACTATTAAATTTCATTCCTTTTTTATAACACATTTTAAAGATATGATATTCTGATCCTTCTCCATGATGTTATATCCCTAGTGAGTTTGAGAATTACATTTAGTGATAGACAAGGGTGAAATTTCCTGCCTGATTTTATCTGGGTCTACAGCTTTTGATAGTATTTGACTATAAATTCCTGTTGAATTGTTCCTGGCATGCACCTCAGGGCTTGGAGGAGGCTAGCACAGAACTACTGTGCTCTTGCTCAAGGGCCTGATTGTGCAGAGTGTATTTCCTGAGGTTGTTTTCTCCCCCTATATGGAAATTTTACCAGTGTTCCCCCTAATCTTTTCCATCTATGTGTGGATTTTTCCTATGCGTGTGCAGAATAATTTTGTATGCACTGAGGCATGTATGAATGTGTACTACCAGTAGAAACAAACACACAAACAAACAAAAAGAAACTGTGGGCACTCTGCTAATCAGGGGGCCACGTTTGAATTTATCCTGAGTGTGCACATATGCACAGCCTAAAGGGAATACTGTATTTTAGCCCCAGCAAAGCTACATAAAGGAACAAGGCATACAGAGAATTAGGCCCTGAATGTTTTAGTCTTTTGATGTCTGTTCTCCTCTGCTACATCCATGTGTAATTCTCTCTCCACAGGTTATTCAATACTCTTAGGGATGGATTCTGACATCCTTATGTCATGTTAAGTAAAATTTTAGCCATACCATGCTAAGCTGGTAGTCCCATTGACTACTAACAATGGTGAAAGTACCATAGTGATTGCAGTGGGGTAATTTACAGGATAAGTTATTATCTGGCATATGTCTGGGATGGCTCGATCTGATCCTTAACTAGGAAGTTAACATAGTCAGAGCATGGTATCAGGTATTCAAGCCACAGTTCCTACACAGTGAAGCTGAAGAATGGGCTGGATCCCCTAGCTAGTGCAGAGAGAAGGAAGCAAAGTTGAACCTTCAGTTTTTAACAGAAGTCTTGGGAAGCAGGAGTGAGTAATACTTGAACTGCTCATGGTAGAATCATGGAAACAGGAACATGACAAAAGCTGTCTGTAGGCAAGATAACGCTCAACATCAGTAAAAAAAACCCAACACATGTAAGAAAAATGCTGTGTTTGCAGTAAACTATATTAGTCAGAGACCGTATTAGTACTTTTCACATCAGTGTTAGAAATAACTGCAGTAGCACATGTAATCACGTGTGTCTCTTTTGATGAATGATATCTTGGAGCTTGACTTTTAAAATTTGGCTGTCTAGGCAAAAATTGGTGGAGTGGGGAAAAATAAGACAGATGATAGAGTGGTTGAGAAGGGAGAATGCCTTCCTTAAAATGTCTCTTTTTACTTGACTCTGCTTATGTCACATATATATATAGAAATCTCTACTACCTATCCTACATGCATGCATGGCATATGCAAGTAATGAGAAACAAAATGAATACAAACCATGCCAAAGGGGCTCTCTGGGACACCAGGCTAGCAAAAGAGAGGAACAGCTAGGGAAACATGGCTGTCACTTCTCATGGATATCACTGACCCATGAAGAAACACAGGGACAATACGTGAGCATCTCGGCCCTTCTGCGCTTGACCCATCACACTAGTAGCTCAGCAGTCTGCCCTGCCATGCTGCCATCGACAGATTCTCTGTCAGATGCCCAATCCAAACCTTGCCAGAGAGATACTGCTCATTTTCTTGTATATGGTTCTCTTCATACAGCCGCATAGGCACATCATAGTGCTGCATTTTGCATTGTAATATACACAGATGGCATTAATGGCTAA